TCTCTAAAATAAAGACAAAAAAAAAAAAAAAAAAATTTAAAAAACCTGAACACCCCTCATTTTGAAGGTGTGTGTGTGTAGAATATTGCTCCTATTTTGATTTTGGAATTCACTCTTCAGTTGTCAAAATGCCGTCCAAGCAAGAAGAGCAGCGTATCAAAATTTTGCTCGCGCATCGCGAAAATCCGAGCTACTCGCACGCAAAGTTTTCAAAATCGCTAAAAGTTGCCAAATCAACCGTTACAAATGTAATTAAAGTGTTTGGGGAACGTTTGTCGACAGCCAGGAAGTCTGGATCGGGGGGAAATCGAAAACCGGAAGCCGCTGAGACGACAAAGAGAGTTGCCGGTAGTTTCAAGCGAAACCCTAACCTCTCTCTCCGAGATGCCGCAAATAAGCTGGGTGTATCGTCTACAACCGTGCATCGAGCCAAAAAACGAGCCGGACTATCGACTTACAAGAAGGTAGTGACTCCAAATCGCGATGATAAACAAAATACGACGGCCAAAGCGCGATCCCGGAGGCTGTACACGACGATGCTGACGAAGTTTGACTGCGTGGTAATGGACGACGAAACCTACGTCAAAGCCGACTACAAGCAGCTTCCGGGACAGGAGTTTTATACGGCAAAAGGAAGGGGAAAGGTAGCAGATGTTTCCAAGCACATGAAACTGTCAAAGTTCGCAAAGAAATATCTGGTTTGGCAAGCCATCTGTACCTGTGGCTTGAAAAGCAGCATTTTTATAGCTTCCGGGACTGTCAACCAAGAAATTTACGTGAAAGAGTGTTTGAATAAACGTCTGCTGCCTTTCCTGAAGAAACACGGTTGTTCCGTACTGTTTTGGCCGGATTTGGCATCTTGCCATTACGGTAAAAAGGCCATGGAGTGGTACGCCGCCAACAACGTGCAGGTGGTTCCCAAGGACAAGAACCCTCCCAACACGCCAGAGCTCCGCCCAATTGAGAAATACTGGGCTATTGTCAAGCGGAACTTAAAGAAGACCAAAAAAACTGCTAAGGGCGAGCAGCAGTTCAAGGCAAACTGGCTTTCTGCGGCGAAGAAGGTGGACAAGGTGGCTGTACAAAATCTGATGGCAGGGGTCAAGCGTAAGGCCCGGCAATTCGGATTTGGAAAAGCGGAAGCCTAACTGAATATTTTTCCTGAATTTTATACTAATTGAACTTGAAAAAGAAATTTAATTTGATTTTTTAAATAAACGATTTCACCGATTTACACGCGTTTTCCCTTGACCAAATTTTGACGGTATCACCCTTTACTTCGTATATTTTGATCAGGAATAATCAGGATATTATTCCTTTGAATTTGTCGAACCTCTTAACGGAATCCCTTTATGAAGAGCTTTGAGTGGGTTGGTTTATTTCCTTTAAATTCCGTTATAATTGCTTATCTTTTGACAGATACGCGTATTTCGTCTACTACTTGCAGACTTCATTAAGTACTCAACACCAGTGAAGAATCCATCTTTTATCTTCGAGTTATATACCAATCAATAGGTACTAAAAATGACCACTGCCATGTCAAAATTTACCTAACCAGGTACCTACATTCAATCTCCAACAGGTAGATGCATGCTACGAAGTGTTGTTTTAGGTAGCATGCTAAAGAGTCTCGAGAGCAATGTTGATGGATATTTAAATATTTCTAAACTTTCAGCTACGTCTAGTTTCCGAGGCGAGGATACAGTCCGCAGGATATTAATGTTATCCTTAGTCAAATTGTGCTCCTTTGTAGCGATATGTTCTGCAACCTTGGATTTAAATTCATAATGAAGTCCTTTATCCATTTCTTTGTTAGCCTTTTCTACCTCTGCGATGTGTTCCTTAAGCCTTGTTTCCAAAGTCCTTTTCGTCTGACCAATGTAGATTTTATTGCAATCTGGACAAGAGATTTTGTAGACTCCGGCTTTCCCTAAGACATTTATTGAATCTTTAGTTGATCCTAACAGTGACTTCAGCTGATTTGTCCTGCTCCTGAATACTAAATCTAGGCCAAAACTTCTAAACTTTGAAATCAATGGTTTGGTAATGTTTTTGGCGAAATTCACCGCTACCCGTTTTAAACCCTGGTGTAAGAGTTGTCGAAATACGCCTAAAATGATCCCTTGTTATCGATTACTGCTTGAATTGTTTTTTTCTTGATATCCATTAAGTCTAGCGATTTAAAAAATGTGAGCTATCTCCTTTGATTTGCCTGTATCGCTAAGAGGAAGAGTTTGCATCCTGTGAACCATGTGGTGAAAAGCGGCCATTTTGTGTTGATGGGAATGGTTTGAAGTGCTTGGTATTACTCTTTTTGTGTTTGTTGGTTTCCTATAGATTTCGAAATTAATCATTTTGTTTGACCATTTTCCATAGAGATGGCGCTGTTCCGCTGGTAGGAAGTGATAAAAATCCTCATATAGAAATTGAGAGAAGTGGGAATAATTCGTTTTCGGTGCATATTCAGGTCAAAGTGAACGACAACCTAAAGAAATTAATCAGGGACTTTGTCGTTCAGTTTTTTCCCGAAAATTATGGTTAAACAAGCTACAATTAAATAAAAATAATTTTTCCCCATACAGTTTTACCTGCTTTACTACCAGTTCCCAGAGAGCCAAAAAATTCAAATTTGAGAGAGAAAATTTGCTCTCACGACCTCAATCTCTCAACATGCCATGTATCTTGTTGACACTCGATTTGTGATTTCCCTTTCACAGATTATAAATTATAGATTCACAGGTACTCTGTCAATACAAAACATGTCTGGTACCTCTATATATGCATTTGCTGTAACATTTGAAGTCCCTCCTTTTTTACATATTCTGCGCAAAAGATACTTCATGCCCCGCCCCATACATAAAATTCGGCGGGAAATTCTGTGAGGGGTGAGCTATTTTGTGAGCAGAATGTGTAAAAAAGGAGGGACTTCGAATAATAATCTAAATGCATATATAGAGGTACCAGACATGTTTTGCACTGCAGTGTCCTCTGTGAACAATTAACGGAAAACAGATTGTGTGTAGTTTCCGATTGATGTCACCGCAAACAACAGCAGTGACATCTGATGGAACATGAATGCAGAAGCTTGACAAAATGATCAATTGAACGAAGACGTTTCCCTAATGATGAGAAGATCTAAGAAGGGGAGTTTGCCGTCTCTCTCTTCTTCGTGAATGAAATCTGCAAGTAGTAGACGAAATACGCGTATCTGTCAAAAGATAAGCAATTATAACGGAATTTAAAGAAAATAAACCAACCCACTCAAAGCTCTTTATACAGGATATTAGGATAGTCAGAAGATTTAATAAATAATATATTTTTATAGTCACTTTAACACTTTCGGGTTATTCGTGACTTGCATGGGAAAACATGTTTAAAGAAGTGACCTTAACCGTGAGAGGAATAGGAACATCTACCCTATTTATTTTCTTGAAATCCCTCGGTATCGATAATTTACTGGTATTACTGTGGAATTCTGAATATCGCTTACCAAGAATCACCCACCACACGGTTTCGTTGGGAGTACAGAGATCTCTATACGTCTTACCTATCCAATTATCCGAGGGAAAAATATGGGAACACTCAAGTAGCAACAGGTTGTACTCGGGTCAGCCCTTAGCCGCGCGCTCGTGCCTAATGGATATCAACAATGCAACGCGTGATGTTCATCCACTTGACAGCTTTCCGAGGGGTATGACATCGTGCGTACTTTCCCATGTTAGGGTGTACCTCACAATTACCAGTACTGAACCCCTCAGCACCGAAATTCCGGTACTCACAACCCTAATCAAGATCGATTTTTTCTTAGAGATCGTTCAGTACTACTGTGAACATATTTTTTTGAGAAAAGAGACAATACTATTTAATTTTAATAATTTTCGACTTTTTCCCGTATTTCTAGCTTTTCCTGAACGGGTGGCCACCCTGGTGTCATTTTCCCAGAAAACTTGTCGAATACAGAGGAAGTAAGCATTGGTTAATACTACAAGCACTTCATAATTTCTTTGCCATTCTTCTGAACCCAACTTTTAGGTTAGCAAAAAAAAAACGAACCTGACACGCGTAGAAATCAATTTGCGTTTTTTTTTCATCACAAGCTGATCGACGTTGATCGATGAACCTCACAAATCACGTCCATTAAGCTGCTAAACTGTGCTAAACCTGCCATGCCTTTTTCGATCATTGTTCCCTAAAGTATGAGAAAAACGACAACGAAAGCTTCCTGTCATTCCCGATAAGCGCACACCACTTATACTTGAGTAGCGATCGACTCGAAAAAGTAGCTATTTTAAATGCAAATCACTGACGCTCGATTGAGGAATAATTAATGAAAATAAAAAACGGAAGATTCTTCGTCTATTTCGTTCGAATCGAATGAACGTTTGACGAAGGAAAGCAACTGTAATGACATTCAGCAAAAACGAAGAATAAGTAGGCGATCCCCGTCTTACGTCAAACGAGGGCTAATCGATCAGGAAGTACTAGATTGATAACGTTATTTAGAGTGTAACGAGTGCATTTGACATTGAACTTTAGAACATGTCGTCGCCTGCTACGGTATTCGGGTAATGGGCCTACGCATGGCTTAGGTTTGTTTGCCCTTAAACGGCTACCCGTCTACTGGCTTTCCGCGACCGGCAGGTCGTATGCAAATACAAAATTACTTAAGTACCTTTAACATGCAATCGCTAACTGTGGAATAACAGCAACGAGTCAATTTGAAATGTGTGCTTTATACATACCCACTGGAAAGAAAACTAAACAGCATTTAAACAAACAAGCATTTTTTTTCCTATAGTATAGAGGAACAGATGAATGAAAGTGCATTCCGCGTCCAACTGAAGGAAATTATGCGAATATTCAGGAAAAGAATAATGTCAACGAAAACGAAAAACGTGGTACTAAATCAAACAGTAAACGGTTTACGGTTGATCGATTCGATACATGAGAGATGCACACTAGAGAAAGAGAGGGAGAGTAAGTAGACGAGATATACTTACGGCTTTAGCGTAGGCTTTGCCAATTCCATCGGTTGCCCCGGTGACCACTGTGAGTTGGGGAGAGAGAAAAAAAAAGTAAGAAATGCATTAGTAGATGCTTAATGTATATGTGACTTGCACTGCGAGTTTGACAGACGAGTGACACGGTGCTTGGCTAGGATCGGATCTGCATTATCGATCAAAACAGGTCGACAATTAATTGCCAGGCGTTCGACTAGGAAGTTCCCGGCGAAGGTTGGATTAAATTAACGGGTTTCTTGCCGTTGTTTGAAAGAAGCTTTTCCCCTAGGATGTGTAGATCTTTTTTAGATTAGATTGTTTAATAAGGTTATGTTTTATGGTAAAATTCAACATTAGGTTTTGTAAACAACCAAACCTAGGTGTCGAAATCGATTATTACATTTGCATTGTATCGATTAGTCAATGTTACTCCAAACAACCAAGTCGTCTCACGTCGATCGATTCCCGTTAAACGGGGAAAAATGAGTTTCATAAAAAACTAATTGTTTTGCTCGTAAAGTAAACAACATTAAAGGAAAACATTTAGTACGGCGATTTACAACTTGAGGCGCGCGCGTGCGCGTAAGCATCTTGCACTCAGCTTTTTATGGGCGTCACCCCGGCAGATGATCACCGATCGTCCACCATTACACAATACGTACTCGATTGGAGGTCAAATAGATCACAGATAGATTCTCTCCTTGGCCTTTGACCAGCTTCGATATCCCACGGGATTGCTGCGGTGCAATCTCCAATTATTCGTTCGGATTGTAATTAACACGTGTCTAGTAGGCGGACTACGGTTGCTATGGCGATGATCGTAGTATGTCAGTCATGGAACTTTGCAAGTCATGGAAGCAGGGGCGGTAATTAGAGCAACCCAGCTCACGATGCAGGTGTAATCTAAGTTCTATAGGTGCGGTAAGAGAGGGACAACGTATCACTCGTTATATACATTATCGGCGATATGCAGTAAGGTAAATCATTGTCAGATGATGGGAAATTTTTCAATCAATGATGCAAAATTTACGCGATGATGTTCATCGCTGGCGAACTTCAAACCGGACTGTGGTTTGAGGTGATCGTTAAGTTCAATTAGTCATTATTCTTGACGGTTTTCACGCTATTGGTTGGTGTTAGTAGGGTCGAGGGGCGGGTAGTTATTGACTTTGGGCCGGAAATCGGTTTTGATCGGATGAAAATGCCGTTCCTCAAATAAATTTCCTGTAAATTTCTAGTTAGTACAATTTTTTAACGCACACTCATTAGTTGGCGCTTATATAAAGGGTGATACGGTCAAAATTTGGTCAATATCAACTTGACGTATTTCTTTCAATTTTGCATTTAAAAAACCTGAACACCCCTCATTTTGAAGGTGTGTGTGTGTAGAATGTTGCTCCTATTTTGATTTTGGAATTCACTCTTCAGTTGTCAAAATGCCGTCCAAGCAAGAAGAGCAGCGTATCAAAATTTTGCTCGCGCATCGCGAAAATCCGAGCTACTCGCACGCAAATTGGCAAAATCGCTAAAAGTTGCCAAATCAACCGTTACAAATGTAATTAAAGTGTTTGGGGAACGTTTGTCGACAGTCAGGAAGTCTGGATCGGGGGAAATCGAAAACCGGAAGCCGCTGAGACGACAAAGAGAGTTGCCGGTAGTTTCAAGCGAAACCCTAACCTCTCTCTCCGAGATGCCGCAAATAAGCTGGGTGTATCGTCTACAACCGTGCATCGAGCCAAAAAACGAGCCGGACTATCGACTTACAAGAAGGTAGTGACTCCAAATCGCGATGATAAACAAAATACGACGGCCAAAGCGCGATCCCGGAGGCTGTACACGACGATGCTGACGAAGTTTGACTGCGTGGTAATGGACGACGAAACCTACGTCAAAGCCGACTACAAGCAGCTTTCGGGACAGGAGTTTTATACGGCAAAAGGAAGGGGAAAGGTAGCACATGAAACTGTCAAAGTTCGCAAAGAAATATCTGGTTTGGCAAGCCATCTGTACCTGTGGCTTGAAAAGCAGCATTTTCATAGCTTCCGGGACTGTCAACCAAGAAATTAACGTGAAAGAGTGTTTGAATAAACGTCTGCTGCCTTTCCTGAAAAAACACGGTTGTTCCGTACTGTTTTGGCCGGATTTGGCATCTTGCCATTACGGTAAAAAGGCCATGGAGTGGTACGCCGCCAACAACGTGCAGGTGGTTCCCAAGGACAAGAACCCTCCCAACACGCCAGAGCTCCGCCCAATTGAGAAATACTGGGCTTTTGTCAAGCGGAACCTAAAGAAGACCAAAAAAACTGCTAAGGGCGAGCAGCAGTTCAAGGCAAACTGGCTTTCTGCGGCGAAGAAGGTGGACAAGGTGGCTGTACAAAATCTGATGGCAGGGGTCAAGCGTAAGGCCCGGCAATTCGGATTTGGAAAAGCGGAAGCCTAACTGAATATTTTTCCTGAATTTTATACTAATTGAACTTGAAAAAGAAATTTAATTTGATTTTTTAAATAAACGATTTCACCGATTTACACGCGTTTTCCCTTGACCAAATTTTGACCGTATCACCCTTTAAATTAAAAAAAAATTGTTCAAGGATCCATGTATACAAATTCTGAGAAGTTAATTTATAATATTAACCCAATAGGCACAAAACACGCAATATGGCTGCTAGTTCTTGAAATTTAATTTGTCAAGATATAAAAGGTTCTGGCCATTTCAGGATGTGGCATTATCGCCCTGTGGGTGTTCGGGCATTAGGCCGGACTTAAATTAATTTTGATGAGCTTCCTTACACAGTAATGTTTCTAAGATTTTTAACACTTAGGTATTTATTAGGAGTATTTGAACTTGGAAAACTTTTTAAGAGATCTCGGACTGGGATTTTTTTCCGTAATTGAAGAAATTTCATACATCCCCTGAAACTTGAAACATTTAAGTTTGGCAAGCAATTAAAGTGCAATGTTTTAAAGTATTTTTCCATCTTTCAAGAATGAGCAGCTCTTTCGAGTTTTACTGTTTTCGTGATTTTTGGGACCATGAACAAAATATGCAATCATTTTATTTCCTTCTTTTCCCACACCAATTTATTTGACTGACTGTTAACTTTGGATAAGATAAAGTTTCGAATTCCAAGTCCAGGTGCAAGATCCTAAAAATTTCCAAAGCATCAGCATGATACAGAATATTGAAAACATTCATGTCCCGAATGTTTTAAAATAAACTCCTATCTCAGTCTTGAAGATTTCTCTTAATCCAGGATCATAAAATTTTCTTAACCTGAAATCTCAAAATTTATGAATTCATTAAATTCCTCCAAATCTTGGATCTCCATTCTTTTTTGTTTGTCCAATATCTCGAAACAAATTCTATGTTAGGATCATCCCGACACCCTTGAAATTAGGGGATTTCTTCAGTATGTTCTGAAGAATTTGCTTTAATCATCTCAGAATACCCTCAGAGTTCATCTTGGACCTCTTGCTGGTATTTTCTTATAATTTGCTCCATAATACTCTTGAAAATCAATACCTCCGGAGATTTCTCCGGAAAATTCACTTGGAGTTCTCATCAGCATTTACTTTGAATGCTCCGGAAATTCCCTAAAAGTTCAATGTGATTTCCTTTTGACGTAAGACTACGTCTTTCGGGAAGGGTGCCAATCCAGGGAAATGCAACGAAAATTGGTCAGACTTTAAATGCTAATAACTTGGCTAATAATCCATGGATTTTGATGATTTGTATGTTGATCGATTCGGCAGTTTTATAAGACTGGTGTGGTATGTCACACATTGTAAATGTTAGATATTTAAATAACTAAAAATTAATAAATATGGAAACATTCCAATTTCTCATACATTTTTTTTGACCGCACCCTGTAAATTAGCGGTAAACGCAAGTTTGCCACACTCATGCGTAAGATTGAAAAACTGTGAATAGCAAAGTTTAACGAAATGAATTGGGCTTTTTGTTAAAAAAACTTTCAAGATTGAACACTCACGAATAACATCTCAAAAGAGTGAAAATTGCTCAAATTATGCGGCAAGTGAATTTTAACCTACGAGTATCTCGAAAATAACAACTTTGAGAAATTTAAGCAATGTGAGCTTTTTTGTTGTAAATTTAATGTGTTAATATTAAACATTATTTTAAAGATATTCGATAACTATTGGTAGTATTTTGGAAAATACTTAGTTTTTATTTATTTTTATTTATTTATTTATTTGTCGTCAATCAGTGTAGACCGTTGACGTTATGCGACTAATTAAAATATTGCTTTAATTTGGTTTTTGTCATTGTAAAGTCAATGTTATCGCAGTGCTTATTATATGTATCCATCATTTGGTTCAAGGGTCCAAATTTGGCATAATTCGTACGATGACGATTTGTAGCAAATATATTTCTATTTCGTATGTGCCTAGATGGTGTATATAAATTTAAGGATGACAATAGTTCTATTGAATCAATTCGATGTGATACGATATCGTTTACGAAAGAAATCGTAGCAAATTCACGACGCTTTTTTAATGTTTGGATATTTATGAGCATACACCGAGCTGTGTAAGATGGCAGAGGAAATACAGTCCAACCTAACTTGCGGAGTGCATACAATAGAAACTGCTTTTGAACGGACTCTATTCTTTCTTCGTGTGTGATTGAAAAAGGTGACCAAACTATGCTGCAATATTCTAATATCGACCTTACATAAGCAATGTACAATGTTTTTATCGTATACGGATCGTGAAAGTTATAGCAGAAACGTTTTATGAAACCAAGCATGTTGTTAGCTCTGTTAATAATTGTGTTATAATGATCGGTGAAAGTAAGTTTTAAGTCCAAAATAACACCTAGATCCCTGACTCTATCACACTTTTCTACGATATGGTTTCCTAAAGTGTTTGTTATATCGGGTAGGGTTCGTTTTCTACTAATGGTAAATGAGTTACATTTTTTTATATTTAATTGTAGCAGGCTTTTTTGGCACCAAGTATGGAATAGTTGAATTTCCTCTTTGAATGTGATGATGTCTTTGGCATATTTTATTTCCAAAAAAAG